TGTCAGCAGTAGCCTATTTTCGTTTACCCGTCATGTTTTATGAGGCAATTAAGGCGACCCGGCTGATGACACCACTCGATGGCCGGTGTGATATGAGTTTATTCGTACATGTGCAATTCATGTTTGTACGTGGGCTGGGATACTGTCAGGTTGCCCTCACCTAGACAGGAGGACAAACAGGGTCCTCAATCCAAGCCTTCGGCTAGAAAGCCTGGCCGCAAGGCAGTGGTGTTTAGCTGAAAATGAAAATACAGTACCGTTTTTACGGAACAAGTCTCTACACCTGTCCCAACCCCAACCTGAAGAACCAAGAGACCGTTCGTCAGACTTCCAACCATTGACCAAGCTTTATGAGAGTTTGCGAGTGTCGCACGGACACCACCCAGTGTAGCTCATTGGGTCACTGAGGTTCACAAACCGCCACACCGCGATAGGGTCCAGTCTCTACCGCAATGGAGTTGGTGCACTTAGATATATTTTCCCGACAGGAAATATCCCAGAAGTTTGTGAACATAATCCGGTCCCCGTATCCACACAATTTTAGGCGTGTGAGTTTATGGTGAACTTTCTAAAGGGTTCCCTACAAAAAGTGGTGTCAGAAAAGAATCTCCATTCTCTTCATTCTTGTTCATCATCACTGATGAGAAAGTAAGACGCAAGCTGGAGTGCCTTCAAAACCCCGGTGTTCAAATCGTTGCCAATGGGAACCTCGAGGATATGGAGTACGCAGACGAAATCGTCCTCATCTTCGAAGGTGGTTGCTGTCGAATAAACTGACCATCATCGTACCATCCTTTGGTATGTGCCTTGCATCATCAGATTGCAAAGTCATGCTTTAGAACTTGCAATCTCTGAACACATCCCTTGAAATTCACGGAGAATCACTGAGGGTTGTGAAGAATTTCGCATAACTAAGCAGTTGTATTAGTTCTGAGAGAAGTGTCCGATGAAGTCATTGCACGAATTCCAAAGGCCCAAATCGCATCTGTTAAGTTGCATCACTTGTTGCCTCAAAAGTGATATCACTGGGTCTGAAGGATTGCGTTTGCCAGGCGACAGCAGGGTTTGTTTTGTATGGTTGCAAGAAATGGCATCCGCCGACAGATGGTATGAAACGTCCTCAGGCTTATTACCAATGACTTCGTGATGAGGTAACTGAGAAACGGATATTTGGTTGTGCAGCAGGTAGTTCAGTCCTAATAAACACCTAGCACGTCAAATACCGGTACTCTGTCATGTCCTAAGCATTCCGGAGCGTCGCTTATGGAGACGAGTGTTGTTTCCCTATGCCTCCTTCAGAATGGTGCAAACTGCGAGGTTGACCTGTGACCTGACAGAAGTGTGCGAAACAGATTATGTAGTGTTCTCCATCACGAAGAAACGACTACCATGTTGAGACGGTTTATGTGCCTCTGTAACCCATTGGCAGCCAGTCAATTTCGGCGGCATTCGTACTGCCAGTTCATTTCCAGATTGTCTG